GGTCACTACATACTCGTAAGGGGAAAACTCCAAGAGGAAGAGATAACTATCTTAAATATATACGCACCAAACTCCAGAGCACCCAGTTATATAAAACAATTATTAACAGAAATGAAAACTCAAATTATCAGTAACACAATTGTAACAGGAGACCTTAATACACCACTGACACCAAGGGACAGATCAACCAGACAGAAAATGAGCAAAGAAATAACAGAACTGAATCACACCTGTGAACAAATGGGTTTGATAGACATATACAGAATGTTCCACCCAACAACATCAGAATACACATTCTTCTCAGCAGTACATGGATCATTTTCTAAAATAGACCATATATTAGCTCACAGAACATATTTAAGCAAATGCAAAAGAGTTGAAATCATCCCTTGCATATTATCGGATCATAGCGCTCTGAAATTAGAAATTAATGACAAAGGATACTGCAAAAATTCCGCAAACACATGGAAACTAAATAACACACTCTTGAGTAATCAGTGGGTCACAGAAGAAATTAAAGAAGAAATCAAACAATACCTAAAAGAAAATGAAAATGCAGATACAACTTACCGGAATCTGTGGGATGCAATGAAAGCCGTTCTGAGAGGAAAATTTATTGCACTGAGTTCCCACATCAGGAAAACAGAACGAATACAAATAAATAACTTGATGCTACACCTCAAACAGCTAGAAAAAGAAGAGCAAGTCAAGCCCAAAGCCAAAAGAAGAGAGGAAATTATAAAAATCAGAGCAGAAATCAATGCAATAGAGACTAAGAAAACAATCCAAAGAATCAACGAATCAAAGAGTTGGTTCTTTGAAAGAATAAATAAAATCGATAAGCCCCTAGCCAACCTTATTTTAAAAAGGAAAGAAAAAGCTCAAATTCATGCAATAAGAAATGAAAAAGGAGAAATCACTACAGACCCAATAGAAATACAGAGGATCATCAACACCTATTTCGAAAACCTCTACTCTCAAAAGTTTGATAACACAGAAGAAATAGACAGATTCTTAGAAGCATATGAAGTACCAAAGCTAGATCAAGAGGATATAAAACTGTTGAATAACCCAATCTCTGCTAATGAAATTGAGAATGTAATTGGGTCCTTGCCCACCAAGAAGAGCCCAGGCCCAGATGGATTCACTGCAGAATTCTACAAGAAATATAAAGAAGACCTAATGCCGACACTCCTCAAACTATTCAATGAAATTGAAAGGGAAGCAATCCTTCCTAAGTCATTCCTGGAAGCAAATATTACTCTAGTACCAAAACCTGAGAAAGACCCAACTATAAAAGAGAACTATAGACCGATCTCCCTAATGAACACAGATGCAAAAATCCTCAATAAAATATTGGCAAATAGGATCCAGCAAATCATCAAGAAGATTATACACCATGACCAAGTGGGATTCATCCCAGGAATGCAAGGATGGTTCAACATACGCAAATCAATAAATGTAATCCACCATATCAATAAAGCCAAAAATAAGAATCACATGATCATCTCTATAGATGCAGAAAAAGCCTTCGATAAGGTCCAACACTTATTCATGATAAGAACTTTACAGAAAATTGGAATAAATGGTCTTTACCTCAATATAATAAAGGCCATTTATGACAAACCAACAGCCAGCATCATACTAAATGGCCAAAAATTGAAAGCCTTTACTTTAAAATCAGGTACAAGACAAGGATGTCCTTTATCACCACTCCTATTTAATATAGTACTGGAAGTACTAGCCAGAGCAATTAGGCAAGAAAGAGAAATAAAAGGGGTAAAGATAGGAAAAGAAGAAGTTAAATTATCATTGTTTGCAGATGACATGATACTCTACATAGAAGACCCCCTAAACTCCATTGAAATACTCTTAGATACAATAAATAAATTCAGTAATGTGGCTGGATACAAAATCAATACTCAGAAATCAATAGCATTCCTATACACGAACAACAAAATTACAGAGAGGGAAATAAGAGAAACTGGACTATTCACATTAGCAAGCAAAAAATGAAATATTTAGGAATTACTCTTACGAAAGAAGTGAAAGACTTATACAGTGAAAATTATAATACACTGAAAAAGGAAATTGAAGATGATCTCAGAAAATGGAAAGACATCCCTTGCTCATGGATAGGAAGAACAAACATTGTGAAAATGGCCATTCTCCCAAAACTGTTACACAGATTCAATGCAATCCCAATAGAAATACCATCAACATACCTTATAGATCTAGAGAAATCACTCCTAAATTTCATCTGGAACCAGAAGAGACCTAGAATCGCAAAGGCAATTCTAAGCAGCAAAGACAAAGCAGGAGGCATCACAATCCCTGACTTGAAGTTATACTACAAAGCAACAGTAGTAAAATCAACATGGTATTGGAATCAAAACAGAGCTGAAGATCAGTGGAATAGATTAGAAGATACAACCACAACTACGAACACACTCAACCACCTTATTTTTGATAAAGGAGCCAAGCAGGTTCACTGGAAGAACGACAGTCTCTTTAATAAATGGTGCTGGAAAAACTGGCTCTCCATTTGCCGAAAACTAAAGCTAGACCCATGTCTATCACCACGTACTAAATTAAAATCTAAATGGGTCAAAGATCTGAATATTAAAACAGAAACACTAAATCTATTGGAAGACAAAATAGGTAGAAACCTTGGAGACATAGGAGTAGGTAAAGAATTCATGAACAGGACTCAAACCGCACGGGAAATACTTCCCAGAATCAATAACTGGGACCACTTCTTATTAAAAAGTTTCTGCATGTCAAAAGAAATCTCCAGCATAGTGAAAAGAAAACCCACAAACTGGGAAAAGATTTTAGTGAACTCTCTCTCAGACAAGGGCCTCTTGTCTAAAACATATAAAGAATTAAAGAAACTCAGACCTCCGAAATTCAAAGATCCAATCCAAAAATGGGCATCTGAGATGAATATGCAATTCTCAGATGAAGAAATGCAAATAGCAAATAAATACATGAAAAAATGCTCATCATCATTGGTCATTAGAGAAATGCAAATTAAAACCACACTGAGATACCATCTCACTCCTGAAAGAATGGCCAGGATCAAGAAAACCGACAACAAATGCTGGAGAGGCTGTGGGGAAAAAGGAACTCTCCTGCACTGCTGGTGGGAGTGTAGACTGGTACAGCCTTTGTGGAGATCTGTCTGGAGATTTCTCAAAAAGTTGGGACTGGAAATCCCATTTATTCCAGCTATTCCACTTCTAGGCATATTCCCAGAAGAACTGAAAGCATCATACCACAGGGATATATGTGCACCTATGTTTATAGCAGCACAATTTGTAATCGCCAGATCTTGGAAACAACCCAAGTGTCCATCAACTGAGGAATGGATAAAAAAGTTGTGGTATTTCTATACAATGGAGTATTATTCAGCTATAAAGAAGGATCACATTGAGATATTTATCAATAAATGGGCGCAGCTTGAGACCATACTCATTAGTGCAATAAATCAATCTCGCATGTGTGAATACCGAATAGTTTCCCTAATGTAAATAATGATTCAAATATATAAAAATATGTGGTAACCATGATTCCCCATTAGGTGGCCTTGAAGCCTTATAAAGTTTTCACTCATTAATTAGAAAGGCTTTATTCTGGGCTTCTTGATATGAAAATATTTGAAGCTAGAGTATATGAAGTTTTACCCAAATATTTCAAGGAAAAAGACACTATGGTAACTACTATTAAGTCAGGTTATAAGGTGGTGAAGTACTAGGTTGTTGAAACAGTCATGCTGTGACCTCTATTGTTATATTGTTATGTCCTGTTTTATCTCAATCTCCCCCTTATTGTTTCAAAAAAAATTATTTAGTCATTTCTTATGTTTGTCTTAATTAAAGAAAAAATTCAAAAAAATTAGGATATATAAATAGTAACTCTTTTCGATTTCCTATTAACTTGTTTTGAAGTCCTGTAGTACTCCCACGATCTTGTTTTGACTGATTAGACTCTGTTCCATTCTATATGATAGTATCAAGTTTGAAGACATAGGCAACTACTTCGAAGACAATAAGATTCACTAAGATACCCATTCTGGTTTGACTATTGTCTTCTTTGGAAGTCCTGTAATGTTTACAATGCCTAAGTTTTATTGGTCTTGTTCTCTACTGTTTTGTCCAACTTTATAATATCTAATAAGATAGACAATTCTTTTTAAGGAAACAAGGGACAACGTTGATAACCATTCTTGATAAACTTGTACTCTGTTCTACACCATGTGCTATGTCTATCCTTGGTATTGACTGACAGCTTTGTTTTGCCATATTTGACTGTATCCTTCCCCCCCCAAAGAAAGTAATAAGCACTAAGGAGTAATAAAATCCAAGATGTGTAAATTTTGTTGTAAAAAAGAGAGGGAAAAAAAAAAAAGAAAAGAAAAAGAGCTCTAACGGATATAACAGCAAGTGTGTTTGGGGGTATTAAATAGCTGACTTTATCAATGTTTTTGGAACATTGAACACAGCTGTTTGCAGTCTCCCTGTTTGAATGTCCACCTTGTGTTCTTTGATACTGTGATTTGAGGAATTATTTTCAAGAAAATAGTGTGTAATCTACTAGCAGGTAATTTCTTACTGTTATGTTTTTTTGTTTTGTTTTGTTTTGGTTTTGTTTTGTTTTGTAGTTCTGTATTGCGTGTACCCTTACGCCGCTTTGGTTTGTTTTGTGTTTTTCTCTTTTTCCTCTTAAATTAAAAAAAAAAATCTAAAAAAAAAATAAATAAATAAATGTTTTATGGTTTCTCTGATATGAGAAACCCAATATTTAAATAAAGTGCAAAAAAAAGGAAAAAAGAGAGAAAAAAGTTAACTGCAATCCAGTATGGCCATTCTATCGATCCTTGATTTAGTATAATTGTTTTATGTGGTTATATATTTTTGGTCTGTTGTTCTGGTAGTTAATCTGTGTTTATGATAATTAACTTGATAAAGATTTAAAAACAATAAACCTGACACTACAAAAAAAAAAGAAAGGAAGAAGGAAGGAAGAGAAAATTGTATTAGATATAGGCAAAGCTATAATAAAGAACCAAATGGCTACTAGACCAGGAAACATAAACATAATTTCAAGTATCCACTTGTTTTAAACAGGCTCTCACTACATATCCCAGACTGGCCTTGAACTCTTGGTGATCCTCCTGCCTCAGCCTCCTGAGTTCTGGGGTTATAGGCATGGGCCACCATTTCCGGTCAAGTGTCCACTGTCAACACACTGAAAGAAAAAATGTGTTTATCAGATTGCAGCTGAGCTAATAAATTAATCATGGAAGTGAGTAAGCAAATTCCCTAACCCATTGTTATGGATTAAGAACTGGTGGTCAACTTAACGCCAGCTGGATTACATCAGCATGGAACTGAGCCAAGATGCTCCACCTGAGGAAAGTTGCCAACATAAATAGGTGGAGAAGAAGGTTGTTAAGGCATTGAGACCTTAATGTGTTGTTGCACTGAGGCATTGTGGGTTCTCCTGGAGAAGCTCTGGTCCTCACGCTGAGCATTGCTTCCTGGCTCCGGAGGGGAAGACATGTGCTACTTGGTCACCAGGATGAACTCGTCACACTGGCTTCCTGGCATGTACCCGACTGTGCTTGTCATCAGAGGAGCTCGGGGCCTCCGTGTCACTGACGATGGCTGTGGTGCCTTTCAGGATAGCCCTGGTCTTATGAGTGTGATTTCTCGGCTCCAGCTTAGAACCCTCAACCTACCAGCAGCTCCTTCACCCTGCTGGCATGGACTTTCTGACTTCCACTGCTGACTTTTGGGCCTTCCCAGCATGGATCTGTAAAAGAGACTGGTGTAAGTCCTTCCTGTGGGCTCTAGACCTCCAGTTGGACTCGTGGGAGGCACTGTCATGAGCTCTGGGTTTTTATCTGGACTCATGTGGGACATTGCTGGGGGATTTAGGCTCTTGACTAAATATTTTATGTTCTTGGTATTGTGAATAGATTTCCTGCATTTTCTTGTGTTAACTCCCAGTGACCATTACAAAAATATTATAAACTCCATGTCCTGATTCTAAGGATTAAGAATCCTTCATGCGGATTCCTGTTCTCTGCACAACCCCTGACTACAATACCCATGGACTGAGATAGGCTAATATGGCCATCCTGCTATTTATTATAGCTGAATGATATTGACATAAAGATTATCCAGCTGATTCTCCTTATGCTAATTCTATATTCACTAAATAATTATCCTATCCACGTAGTAGTTAAAACTTCAACCTGCATGTGAAGCTCGTGCTTCCTCTCGTTTTCTCATATGCTGTCAGTCTCTCTGTCTTTGGTTTTTTTGTTTCTCTTTATCTTGCTAGCTATGTTTCTGATGTTCCCCAGAAAATTAGTAGAGGGTGGCAGCGCTGTTGTGGTTATGTAAGAGGCACTTTTTGGAAAGGCTAGGTAATTAAAACTATGTCTTTCTCTAATAGGTGTTTTTGGGGAGTTCTCAGGAGAGTCTGATCAGTCCGGGTTTCAGCATGAAATAGTACTTGCCCCAGACTGTTCAATCAGAAACTCTAAGGAGGGACGTGCTTATTCAAGGTCCAGGGATTATAGAGAGGACAGAATCACATGCCAATTTGTAGTAGCTAAAAGACTTTACCCCAGACATGAAAGGGCAAGAGAAAAAAGGAAACTGTCACATCAGAGCACAGTGAGGGCCAAGACTGTGAAGAAAAGGCCGCCTGGCATACCAGAACTGTGGAAGGGTGCTAACACTGCCACCAACACAACGGAGAGGCAGCTGATAGGCAACACCGGTACACCCCGCCACCTCCCCACCCTCCCCACCCCCCCCCACATTCCCCCCCACCCCACCCCGCTCAGTGAGCTGCTACCTGTGCCTCCCTCTGGCCAAAGCTACCTGGTAGCCAGCCAGCAAGGGGGCTTGAGTAGGAGAGGTTCTGGGGGAGGACGAGGAGAGAGGTCAGCACACATTCCGCACTGCGAACCTCTGGCCTCAGCTTCCCACATGAAGGCCAGTGCTACTGCATAGTGCTCTCTCTCGACCCTTTGGGAATTAATTCCGTAATGCTAACTGCGTCCCTCCATAGAGCTCCATCGAAAATGTTCACAAATAGGATATTTACTACATCGCATAACATTACCCATCATATGTATTTATTTATCATCTTTATTATGCATATGATATTCAATGTCCTTTTACAGATAACGTTTACCATTTACCATTGAGCTGCACTGTGGTGGGTGCCTGGATGCTTTCTCTTTAAACCTCACCACAGCTCCAGGCAGTCCTTGTCTTTGATTAAAGAGAATGAGTAGGGGAGAAAGATGGGTGAGAGGATTCAACCTAGAGTGGTTAAGTGACTTACTCAGGACCCAAATGGTCTTTCTGTACCAAACTGCACGTAGGAAAGGAGAAAATAATACTTCTTAGTGTATCATTTGCTTTGCTTGTACACCCTGCCGCGCCCTTGCCGCTGGTATCAGTGTGTTTACTTTGGACATTACATGTAGCCAAGGCTGGCTCTGAGATCTGAGATTGCCACTGGGAATCTCTGTGCGTCAGGCTGGTTGAAGAAACCAAATCCTTTGTGTCCTCCTTAATTGCCAGCTCATGCTGTTAGCTCATTGGTGGTTTTATCTCCAGGCTGTGAAGGAAAACGGCCCTCTTACTTTCCCCTGGGTCTAAGGATTCTTTCATGCATCATGACATAATTTACAGAGCATCTCCCAAGGGTTATGGGTGACATACAGTATGGCTATTTAGTTCAAGCCAATTCCGAAATGGAAATGTTCCACTCTTATCAAGAGATTTATTTTCATCAACAAGTTATCTTCCTCCCCAGTCAGGTCTGTAGGGGATCTCAGTCTGGGCCTGCATGTTCCGCCTTTGGGGAATTCTCTAGCGCCAGCCCAGGCCTGTGCTCAGCAGGTTACCACTTAGGATACTGTCTTGGGTTCTTTCAGTGTGGGGTGGAGTGATGAACCCCAGAGACTTTCTTCTGATACCACAATTGAACTAAGATAAATTCTGTATGAGTAAGTACCTTGATAGCCAGGTAACATGTGATATAAGTAAGACCTGTTGAAAACGCAGCAAACTCAAGCTAATTGTGATTGCAGTGCCACCTCCTTTTTTTTTTTTTTTTTTTTTTTCCTGTGAGACAGGTTCTGACCATGTATTTCAGGGTGGCCTTGAACTTGAAACAATCTTCCTGCCTCAGCCTCCCAAATGCTAGAATTATAGACTTGAGCCATCACATCCAGTTTATTCAATCTTTTTAAGCACAACTCTAGGTTTTTCTTTCTTTTTTCAAAACAAACTGTAAGATGCTTTATGTTTTCTTTTTCACAAGGCTGAGAATCAAACCCAGGATCTCACACATGCTAGCAAGCACTTTACCACTGAGTTACAGATCCAGTCCAAAGTGCATATTTAACAAGAAGAGGAAGTTATTCTTCTTGTAAGGGTAACATTTTTTAAAAGTAGTTTTATTAGCTGGGCATGGTGGTGCACCTGTAATCCCAGCATTCAGGAGGCTGAGACGGAAGGAGCACCATGAGTTTGAGGACAGCCTGGACTACTTAGTGAGTTCAAAGCCAGCTTGGACAACATAACAACTCTCAAAAAAAAGAGTACTTCTACCTAGGTATAATTTATATATTTTAAATTTCACCCATTTTAAATAGATAAATTGATACATTTTGACAAGCATATAGACAGTCCTGTGATTATAAAATCAAGATATGGAACATTGCTAAACTGGGCATATGGCACACACCTGTAATCCCAGCAGTTGGAAGACAGAGGAAAGAGATCTTCATGAGTTCAAGGACAGCTTGGGCTACACAGACATATTAGTGAGGAAAGGGGAATCAAAGACCAATGGATTGTCTCTTTGGCGAGGTCTTTAAGAGGTTTGCCCCATCTGGATAGACCTTCCAACTGTCACAAGGAGAGCCCACTTGATCCTGGAGCAGTGACTCCAGGGCTGGATCTCTGTCATTTCTGAGCTGCCCAACCAGCACCCAGTGTGGCAGCCATCCAGTGAGGAACCAGCTGTCTGTGTACACAGGTAGAGGGTCTTTTTTATGTGACACAGTCACATCATCTACATCTCTCCCCATTGGTTTAACCTGTCTGTTTTGGTCCCAAACCAGAGTACTTCTGTACCAGGCTAGACAGCAATTGCTGTCCCTTGCCGAGCTGGGTCACAGCCAGACCTATCAGTATATCCAGAATTAGCCAGAATTTTTTTTTTTTCTTTTGTGTAGCGGGGCTAGGGATCAAGTCCTGTAGTCCATCCTCCTGAATGGGTTCCTGGGCTGTGCACATCATAGGTCCCAAAACCATTGCCAGTTTGGCTGCCAACAGGCTAGGTGAGAAAGAGGGGGGTGGGGGCTGTGTCATTTCATTCCTGCTGTCTACATGATTTTTCACAGGCATGCAGAGCAGCGTACATCATTGTTATTTTTTTTAATCAGGGAATATCAGCTCTTGGCTCCCTTTCTCAACTGTGATCAAAACCCAAAGGATGTTTCTGTTTTCCCTGTTTTTGTCATAGACCCCTCAGTCAAATCTATCATAACCCACATTGATGGTTAGGATAAATGGCAGGTTAGCATTAATGATTCATCAGGCTTGCATCTGTGCAATAGCCCTCTTTGAGTCCAGCAGGCAGCTTCTACTGCATCTATCCTACCCTGTGTTGTGCCCCTTTTGGTCATCTGGTACAAAGAGCACAGCAGGATAGCTAGGTGTGGTACACACATCAAAAACCCAGCAAACCCACATATGCCTTTAATCGGTGTATTGTTATGGGTCTGGTCTTACCCAACCATATAGCACCCAAGAATTTGACAGACAAGCTAGTTCCCTGGACTTATCTTTGTCTATGGTTCATCTCATGCCAGCAAACTCCCTTCAGATTGTGCATGGTGGCTGTTAAATCTGCAAGACAATTATGTTAACATAATATCATCAACACAAAACAGTGGTACAGTGTGTGGCTTGGCCCAGATAGTCAGTTCCTGTGCCATGAGGCCATGACACAAAGTTGGGCTATGCAATAGCCTGTGGCAACATCTGGAAAGTCCATTACTGCCCTCCTGGATGAAGGCAAATTGGTCCTGACCGCTAGCGTCAGGGTGAGACTTCACAGTCATTTCTATGACCCATCTGGTTTCTGCATGGGCCATCCTGAAAGGCTCTGTGCAGGGAGTTTCACTCATGCTTTTTAAATTTCAGTTCTGCCCCATCTCATGGCTCCATGCAACTGGCAGTTCTTCACACATATAACCCATGTGGCCTGTGGGAGAGTCAACTGTGCATGGTGTGGATGGCCTCAGGCTATAGTTTTTCTCACACAAATTTTATAACTGGAGCTCTCCCTGCATCGTGTCCAGCTGAGCACCATTCTTTATGTTCACTCCCCATATGGATTTAGCAAGCAGGGAAACATAACCATCATATAGGCATGGGTGCAAGTGCCTGATAACTCAAAATCACCTGGGCCTTTGGGACCAGGACGTAGTGATTTCTATATCCTTTTATGTACGCAGCAGGTCCTGTATAACAGTCTGGGTTGTTGTACATTAGAGTTGACTCAGCTCTGGAATTCATCAACATTAGTATTCATTGCACTATAAATAACCAATGAATTTTGGGAGATCAATAGTCAATTCCACATGTGGCCTCCAGTCTCCTGGAATCTCCAAGACCTAGACAGCACAGCCTGCCTCCTAATCAGGACAAAGGGAGATCAGGGTCACCTCTTTTAGCTTTACTAGAGCCGCTTTGGCCCTCTGGCCCCTGGCCCATTGGCCAGTATTGTTGTTCAGGGTATAATTGACTCCACAATGTGAGCAACCCATTCAAAGGCTGCCCATCTGACTTATCTGTGGCGAGGCTGGTAGCCAGCAGGTCCTGGCGAGTGAGTTAGCTGGAACATTTGGGTCTGCGGCAGCCCTGCTAGCCTCTTTCTGGATCACCCTGCTCATGGTGCTGTTGATGTCTTGGTCAGATGAGAGACGTGGAAGTAAAATGCCAAGGTAAAATGAGATCTATAAGAACTGTACCTGTGTAGGAAATAAAGAAGGGAGGCCCGTGGTAAATGAGGCTGATCCCCTAGGACAGCCTGTGGGTCCATGAGGGTCCATCAGCATCCAATCTGGATGGACCTGTTGGCTGTCGGCCTAGCCACAGATGAGTTCATGGAGCAGAGTTATCAGGTCTAGATAGTGACTTGCTCCAGCAGGTCACCTGGGTTTTCCCAAGCCACGTGATGTGAGCTGCTACCATCAACCAACTTATCATACTCTGATTATCCGCTGCTCTGCACATCCTGCAGAACCATCTCACAGAGCAGGTGCTGGCTACGCTGACTGTTTGAGAGTTCTGTTGGGGTCTTAGTTGTATGTTATCAGCCTATCATCTCATAGCTGCAGTAGCCACACAGGCACTGTTTCATTTATTTCTTGTTTTAATTGTTGTTAAAGCTTTTAAGATATCACTGGGCTCCAAATACACTGTTTCCCAGTCCTTTGGGGCCTTCCAAGCTGCCAAGAAGGTGGCCACAGGCGGCCATAATGAGGCCAGAGGTCATCTATCAGTCATTCCTTAGGGCTTTTCCTTGTCTTTGGGTGCTGTCTTCACAGCCACCACAGGACCACTTATCTCTGTCCAAAATCAATTTGTTGCCTGCTTGATTAAGGGAGCAAGTACCATAAGCAGAGAGACCATTTTCTTGATGCTGAGTCCAATGTTTTAAACAGGTAGGCAACTGGCCTCTCCCAGGGACTGGCTGAGCAAGCCTGCAGAAGCCAGAACAGCCCCAAAGGGTGACAGGATCACAGTGGCACTGACAGCTGAAAAATCTCGAACTGGCTTTACAGGTAGGAAAGATTTATTTTAGCAGTTTGACATCTATCATCATAGTGACCAATTGCATATCACAGTGAGCAACTATGCTTAAAAGAAAAGAGCAAGCAGATCTGGAACAGGAGCTACCACCTGGGCAACTACAAACTGAAGGTTACTGACTGGGGGCATTAGTATTGCAGTGGGTTTAGTTATTATAATTTTATCTAAATAGCAATCACTTTGAAATATAAAGCATAGCAAAGACTACTATTTTCTATCTACCACGACTGTCTTAGTAGTTGAATCCTTGAAGACTGTTAACAGGTAACAGCTATACAATTTTACAAAGGAAACCTGAGATCAAAGGCCACACATATGAGCGTGCCAATCATGGCATAATTTTTATAACACGTTTAAATGTCCATCTTAGTGTTGAGTAAAGTAACATACAGCATTTATATCATATAAGTTTTTTTAAAAGGCTATTATTTGACTGGTAATCTCATGTTGATTTACCATTTCACTCATGGGGGTTTTTAGAAGGAACACCCTGGAGCTCCACCAAATTAACAAGTAACCATACATATATTTTCTTTTACTAATCTACTTCCACAAGCTTTCCTCAACATACATAAGCTTTCTGGTGTGTCATTACCTCTCTTCTTATCTCAATAGCAGAACAAGACTTTCATCATGCAGAATCTACTCTTTCCGAAAGTATCTCTTTCATAGTCTTCTTCCTCTTTCTCCTCTCCTACTCACTGTAACCTACTACAACAAAGTTGACTGTGCCACTTGAATTTTAAAGTGTTCCTTTTTTGTCTCCTCAGATCAACTGCCAAAAGACCTCTGAGTAACCTTGAATCAGTGTTTTTGCAGACCGGAGAAAAGAGCAACTTAATCCTGTAAATCCAAAACTTTGTAATGTGCAAGAAATGCTTTATGCACATCAACTCAAACTGAAAACCAAAACTATGTTTACCAGTTAATTAAATTTGTAATTTGATTTCTTCTGCAAAGCTTTCTTAGGCTTGACAGAACTTGGGCTGTTTACCCCCGGGTGGAGTTGCCCTAGCTTTCAGATGCCTGGCTGCTGATGTTACCAAGGGCTGGCCCAAGCAGGAGGAGAGCTTGGGCTCTGTCTTGTTCCCTTGCTCTCCTTGAAATAAAAGGACCATTCCTGTTTGGGCTGACTTTTCAGGTGTACAGTTTCTTTCTCTCTCTTTCTATTAGCCTAGCCCCATCGCCCCACTCATGTATTCTGATGTATTAAAGTTAAGCAGCTTTTTCTTGTCTTTACTTATTACAGTGCAAATCATTTCTTCACTTTTGTTTCTAAGCTGGTTAAACTGCTTTTTTTTCAGTTCCCAGTTGAATCCAAGAAGCCTTGGACTTGTGTTTTATTTTGCACACATATATACACACATTCACACATGGGCACACAGAAGTTAATGCATTCCCACCCCCACGTCCATGGGCCAATCCGACAGGAACAGCAGTTGCAGCTGACTACTCTGACCAAAACAAGAATCGGACAGGAACAGGTATCAGACACAGATGTCAAGGAGTGATACAATCTTCCTTCGTCCAGAGTAGCGAAAGTGACAAGCAGGTAACAAAGAAGTAAGTAGGCTAACTGTGGGAATACTTTCCCACCCCAACCCTGGGGCAGGTCTAACTGAAACAGCAGCTGCAGCTGAGCAGGAACTGGAACTGGAACAGGGGACAGGTGAGGATGTCTTGAGGAGAGATCAGGTCCTCCGTCGCCCACACTGGGGGTAAGGCCTGCCTTACCTTACCCTAGGGCCCGGTCTGTGTCATATTCTGACTCCTCCCAGGGTTCAGTGAGGTCTCTGCTGTCACACAGGGGCTCCTTCCCTCAACTGGACCTGAGACTCCAAAAACAGGTCCAGAAGCCATACCTTCTTGATGTAGATGGGAATGAGCCCAGGCAGTGAGCATTAAGTGCTTAGCATAGTGTCTTCCCAACCCAACACACCTGAATGTTCCAGAAAAAATAGTGTCAATCTCATGTAAGACTCTTTACACTGAGGAATCTGGAAGGCAACTTGTTTATTGATCGTAATGCTAGCAGACTAGTGGGACCAAGTCCAAATCACTAGCACTGAGGCAATTTTGAGTTGGTTTAAACACAGTTTACAAACAGGAAGTACAAGGCATTACATGATTGGTTGCACTGATTGAACTAAGTCATATGTTGTCAGGAAAACCAACTCTAAACAGATTGCTTAAAATGAATTGTTTATCATAATATAAGAATATCCTGGGGAAGAGGAGGGAGTTCAACTGAAGCAAATAGAGTTAAAAGGTATCTTTGATTGGATTATTTTACCCCATCCAAAGACCTTGAAGCCAGTTAGAAGCAATATATTTTCTTAATTAAGGGAAACAGAAGCTGAGAGTAGTCAAATTTGATAGAACTGTGGGGGACCAGCGGCAGCTGAAAAGATAAGAAGTATGAAATATAAATGACCTTTATTTTGAGAATGTGGGGAAAGACACCCCCAATGCCCCTAGGAGTGTGCCATCTCCACCCCGGGGCCAGCGATCTCTCCGTGGAACACGTGGAGTGAGGCACATAAGTAGCCTCGGTTTGGGGTGGAACCTAAGGGGGCATTAGGGATGCACAGGTAGCCCATTGGTCTTTGGCACCAGAGGTAGATTCCGAGGGGAAGGGGAGATAGGAGCTCCTTGGCTTTACCGGCTACAGTGTCCGGCCTGGGCCCAAACCCTTTCATATCCCATCTTATGATTATTATTATGAAAAGGGGCAAAGATTTTTCTCTTTAACTGATTCCTGCTGGCAGAGGGCGCTGTACTGGGCTCTAGGGGAGTTGATGGGATGACAGTTGATGCCCAGGTAGAAGCTGGCGCCAGGTGTTTTAGCCAGGACAACTTCACTGGTGAATGCACGTATGTTAGACTGGAAAAACAAAGAGACAAGATGTTATGAGGAGGCATGGCACTGTCATATTTAAGAATCCAGGTGAGGTAGAAGGAAAGGTGCCTTTGATTTAGACATGTTATTATATCAGGACAATGTTGAGGTAGGATCATTTCCATGGTAAGGCAGAATTCTGAAAAATAAATGTGGGGTTAGGAGGAGTGAAGTTATGAGAGGTGATTACCCCCCCATCTGAAAGGGTAAAAGTTAAGAGGGTAGGTAGGTAAGGCTCTGGTATGTATGATGTTGGAGTCTTTAGGAAATACTGTTAAGAGTCCTGCTGTAAAAGAATAAGAAATTAGAAAGCAAATTGGATAACAAAACATGACAGCCTGTGAGTCGTGGCTGTGAGGCCTTGGTAAGGCAGAGATGAGTAGGAAAAGGATGGTCAGATCCAGGGCCTGAGTGATGCGAAACCAGAATGGCAGTCTAGCAACTTTGATCACTGTTGAGGTTGCCAAGAATATCAGGTAGGTATGGGTTGCTGTAACCTGGTTGTAGTCCTTGGAATGATTTGCTGTGAGCAAGTATATCAGCAGTTTACCTGGTTGTGGGAAAGGCTTTTATGTATCCTGAAAAAGTATAAACAAAGAGAGAAGACAAAATGTATCTGTCAGTCTTGACCAGGAGAAATTGGTGAATAAGAAAGGAAGGAGGTGGTCTTATATTACTGAGGAGAGGTTTACTAGTGATAACAGGTGTAAGCTGTTGAGGCCTCAGTGTGTCTAAGTTAGTCTGTATATTTAGGACTGGGACCTGCACGAAATAGGCCCTGTTTATAAATGGCATAGGTTGACCACCAATACCCCGTCATAGAGATTGAGGACTTAATATAGCAGCCTGAAAACGCAGGAAGAACTCTGTATATATGGCCTCTATGTCAACAAATATAGAGAATGTCTTACCTGAGAGTTTTAGTGCGACTTGGACTTCAAGACGAACACCCACAAAGGGGGCTGTTGGCCCTGAGCCCCTTCAGTCTTTGGCAGCAATTTTCTGTCAGCGATGAATCTGGCAGTATCGACATTTCCTGTGAGGGCTAGAAGTTAGGATGGCTTACCCATTCTCTGGTGGCTAGGACAGTCCAGCAGCCCTGGAGTAAGGTCTCAAAGAACACCAGGATGAGGCACTTTCTTGTCCAATGTCTTCTACTGCATTTGAGCGTGGTCCATGGTGGGGAGGCAGGCAGCTCCACCTTGTGTAGGTTTACCTGTCTCAGAACTCCAAGTGTCACAAGTATTAAAATATGAAAAACCATATTAAGATCTCTATAAGGTTTGAAGGTCAAGTTTTACCTTTTTGTTTGAGATTTGGACTATAGTAGAATTAAGAAAGTATGCAGGAGTTTAATATTGGCATTTTAGATCAGAGAGCAGGCTTTATCTGCGTGGCACCACCGCTTTTTGTAGGGTGCCATGTGGAATTAACAAAAAAGGCTTTAGTCTGCCCAAAAAGGCTTTAGTCTGCCCTCCCCCTTCTGGAGTATAATCTCATTTTAATGGAAACATTTTGCAGTAAAGGTTTACCAATATTATGAATAAATCTATCAAAACTGATCTAATACTGTCAAATTTTGAACAAATTTACTTCTTTTGAAACCTGTTATTTGCAGTACTATCAACCAAGACAAATAAAATTTACATCCTCTCGAGCTTTCTACAACTTCCTATATACCCTCAAGTCTTTTTCTACAACTTACATCCTCTCGAGCTTTCTACAACTTTCTATATATCCTCAAGTCTTCTTCTACATTAACCAAGACAAATATACCCTCGAGTTGTGCTTCTTTTCCTATCTTGTTTCTTCTCAAGCTTTTTTACAACTTCCTATCTTCTTTCACAACTTACTACATACCCTCAAGTTACCAGTCAATTACCTTTTTTTCGCTTCTCAGACAACATTAAAACTTTCAACAAAACCCTTGTCTTGGAACAGAGCTAGTGGTTCCCAGCAAAAAGGAATTTATAACATTAGTTGTTAAACAGGAGATTGGCGACAACACAGTACAATAGAGGCAATAAGCCCAACACAGAACACCACTTATGACAATACAGTATAATATAGGCAGTAAGCTTAGAACATTATTGGTGGTTTGCAGCAAAAAGGAATTGATCTCTGAGTCGAGCCACCGAGCTGCTGCCTATCTGTGCCTGTGTTTAAAGTGGTGCTTGTGTTTGGCAGAAGCCTGCCTGGGAAACATGCCTGCCTGGGAGACGCGCAGTGCCCAAGGCAGGATGGAACTCTGAGGCAGACAGAGCTCACTTGTAGAGAGCCACACCCACGCTTCGGGGCAGGGGCTGGGATCTCTCTGGCATGCAGTGCATAGGTGGAACACACAGAGTGGGTGGGGTGAGCATAGGGACACAGCACACAGGGGCAGGCTGGGATCGCCGCCAGAAATGCACAAGGCAGCGGTAACGATGGCACATGGAGGAGGGAGGCGCTGGGATGGCACACAGGGGAGGGGCGGCAGTGGTGCAGCATTGGGAGGAGGAGTTGGGACACAGTGTGAAGCTGGGACCTTACACACTGGGACTCTGTCCACCGGGCACCTCAAGTGTGCGGATTAGGGTGCGGCGTTAAAGCCAAATGCGTGCGTGGACCTGAACCACGGCATGAGAGTCAAAACACCATGCATGGATTTGGGGGCAGCAGTGTGAAAGCCCAAAACTGCCCAAAGCAGTCCCACGTGTATCTCTCAACACTATTTGGGCTCATTTTCCATCTTGGCGGGGAATGGGTTGGCACGCACGAGAAACAAAGGGACGCTGGCAGTGCGGCGGGGTGAGGGAGGGGAAACGGAGGAAAGGAGACACCGAGAAAGCTCTGAAAAGCTACAAGGGAAGACGCTGTTATCTCTTTAAGTGTGGGGAGGGGGAGGGATCCTGGAGGAGCGGGAAAGGACACACATTCTCAAAACAAAGGCTTAAAATAGAGAGTTTTGTAAGCTTGTTGGCAGTGTGATAAGTCATAGATAGGTATGGTTTTTGGAGGGGAGGACAGGAAGTGGTCCCCGAGATAAAATCTGGTGTGGGGTCTAGCCCATGGGGTTATAACTAGATGAGGCAACAGACCATGATCTGCCAAGCTTAAAGTCATCACTTTTTTACTGCAGACTGATCAGTTATTTCATGGCTCCAAAATTCTTAATAATTGGCCATCACCAATATTATGAGTGGACTTTACATGGGTTGAGTAACAGCTCTGCTGTGAGAACTTAAAAAGCTC